TCAATTGAATTCAATTCTAAATGCGCTCCAAAATCAGTATAAAAGAGGGAATAAATTTTCAATGTGCATCAAATTTTCGTCAACAATCAAGAAGAGCTTACCTAACGACTTCAGCGTAATAGTTTTAATTAAGTAAAAATGAGACAACTCTTTGTTGTAGTAGTAATAATGGTAGCGATTCTGTCTGCTCAATCCATTCCGGCACCTGAACCAGAGCCAGTACGAGGTAAATGTTTATAAATGTTTATATCAATGTGTGTATTATTAAATTTAGAGTGTTATTTTAAACAAGGTCGGCAATCATCATATGCAAATGAACAAATAAATCATAAAGTTCGAGTTGTTGGTCCTGGAAGTTCCTCTGACGATGATGCACATATAATTGCAGAACTACGCCAAGCATCTGATACATCTGACGTTAATGAAGATAATGTTGAGAGTTCTGCCGAAAAAGCTGATGGTTCAAGTGGACGATTGTTTTTAAAAAAGTTTTTGCTTTTTAGAAACATTTTTGGAAATAGTAATCAGCAGCCTGTTATACCAATAATTATCACCGGTGCAACAGGCACTACAGGAAACGTTTCACCCACATCAACAGTCACATCCACAGGAACGATTCCTTCAGCAACTGGAACCATAACTACTTCACCAATATCTACGACTGCAACTCGAATGATTCGTTCTGGATATAATGAAGATGAAGAAAATGATGCCCCGGAAGAAATTATTATGAATGATGAACAAACTCTTCAAGCAGCTCTTACAGCTGGTGCTCAGGAATATGTTGTAACTGATGAAGAAATAAAGGGCACATCAGATAGTAAAGGAACGAAACAGCCTGCTCGAATCAATCTTAGACGCAAAGGTGCGAAAAAGGGACAAGTAATAAGTGTTCGCATTCCACCACAGTATCGACGTTACTTCAAAAATGGTCAAAGAGTTATGCTCAACACAAATAATCGCCCAGTGAAACGACGCGTTGTAAAGAAGCGTGTAAATAATAAAAACCGTAGGAAAATTAACAAAAGGACCCGCGTCGTTGCAGCTTAATTAAAAATTTATGGTGTGATTCAACAAGAAAAAGTAAAGTTTTAAAACTGATTTGTAAGAATAATACTATTCTATTTAATAAAAAATATATAAAATCATTTTAAATACTTTTACATACTTTGAAACAAAATCAATTCAGTTTAAAACCGATTGACTATATACAAATTTCTGAGGCACTCCAATAATAACTTTATTCTGCTCTTTTGGTTGTTACTAGTATTTCTTTCACTTCCGACGTGAAGATTTTCGTTAATTTATTCAAAACCTTTTATATATATGTACATATTTCTGCATATGTATTATATTTAATATATTCTGAATATAATAACATACGACTTAATTCGATTTTGATTAAACAGAAAATTTTATTTTCTGCATTCCATGAAATGATCAATACACAAAAAACCGAAGAAATGCGAATTACTGCAACATGCAATTAGCGACTTGAACTTCGAGGGATAATCGTGGAACATTAAATGAATATAAATACTTACGAAATATAGTAGCTATTAATGGTGGCAGTATACAGGACGTGAGTGCAAGAATACGAAACGCGACAATATGGAGATCACCCTTTTATAGGTTTATGATGAAATTAAACATTTTCAAAGCATGTATATTATCCGAACTGCTATACGGTTGCGAAACATGACTCGTAACCGAGATAATTCAAAACAAAGTGTGTGCGTATGTACAGCGGTGCCTTCAGAAAATATTACGTATCTTCTGGCCAAACCGAATTTCAAATCAACAACTGTGGGACAGAACAAGTACAAACGATATCAACATAAATGTCCACAGGAGAAAGTTTGACTGGATTGGTCACACCTAACGAAAGCTATCAACTGAAGTCTGTTTTTAAGCTCTTACGTATGATCCGCAAGGCAGCAGAAGAAGAGGAAGACCTAAGATTACCTGACGCAGATCAACACTAAACGAAATCAACTGCTAATCCACAAACCTTGACAGATCATACATCAATATCTTACTGCAGTGGCAGTAAGAAAGCAAAGATGGAGGCAATTTGTAGATAGCTTATGCCCAGTATAGGGGGAGCTTGGAATCAGGTGACGCCAAGTAAGTCTTAATAATATTCCATAAAATACAAAAACGTACAAATTTGTTAATTTATTAGTTAATTGTATAAATTAGAAGTATTTACTACTAAACATTGATAAGTACAATTATCTTTTAACACAACGCTAATTAAAAAAATTATCTTTTAACGCTAATCGTCCTCTCGCTAATCGTTGTAAATCTTTCGTTCTTGCTTTGCTTCGTTTGCCTTACAGTTGGTCTTCAAACAATCAAAACGAGTCTGTTCTTCCTAATTTTCCATTTCATTGCTACTGTTATCATAAGATAACTGACACCAAAACTTAAGCTTGTTTAATGAGTACACAGATAATCCAACGAGCAGGATTCGTTTGGACTTCGATAGGTCTTTAGGAAACTTTTGGTCATTTTCGATAACCTTTATAATAATAAAGGGTTCTTTATAACACGTCACCATTCTCAAAATTAATTAAGAGTTGCAAAAAACGCTTATCGTATGCTACTTTAGCTTGCTTACCATTAATATATTCTGTATTCGTTTTTTACAAATCTATTAATTTATCAGGGGTTACGATATCTTCGTTAGAATCATCGCATTCTGGAATATATAACAAGGTTAATATCAATAGAGTAGTATATATAGGGTACATTTCGTTGTTTGTCTTTATACTGAGCTTCTAACATTTTTATCCCATCGTTTATTAACAATATTCGTTGATAAAAGCATAGATAAGAATGTTTGATTTATATATTGTTTGATTTTGACTACACATTCCTTCGTTAGGTTTTTGTTGCATTTTAATTTGGTTGTTCGTACAAAATCTTTCAAATCATTAACTGTAAACGCAGTGCTTCGGTCGTTACTCAATTGCATTGCAAATAGTAACTTACTATTTTGTCATCTCAATTCGATACAACAGACGACTGTAATGCATCCTGTACTCATAATTTTCCGGTATTTTCTCTTGCTGTGATTTAACCTCTATTTTCTAAATAGTCACGTCTCGAAGTTTTATAGCAAATAATCAGTAGTATCCATCTTTTCTGGGCTTCAATTTACGCTATGTCGATTTCATGCAAGTTTTGTAATGGAGTTCACTTTAGCGCATCCTTGTGTTCTATTTGTTTCTCACTTTTATATTCGTATGTATATATTCTGCTCACTTTGGAAGACGTGAACTGTGGATTTATTGTTTCGGGTTCAAAGCGTAGATCCACGATTTGTCACCTGCCACGATGTCATAGACGTGTTTCTAGCTATCTTGGTCGTATTTTTTCAGCATATCCTTGCACCAATAATCACGTACCTTCTTTTGAGCAGTCGTGAAATTATGAGGAATCCAATGTGAACCAACCTTTCTGACAGCTAAATATAGATGTAAAATTGAATATAACACGCCGGTTTATCTCAATCATTTCTCGTACTGCTTCGACGTTTTCTGGCGTTTTATAGACACCGGATATTGTGTTTCCATCAACAAATGTCGAACTAAGTTGATCGATATTCAATTCTCCCTCAAAATTAAATATGTGGAGAAATGTGATTCGATTTGCGTTGTTTGGATTTGCGTCGCATTTTGTCGGTCACAATTAATGACGCATATCGGGGTATAAGTGTATATATTAAAGCGTCACATATGTATGTGTGCTGGTGCTTTGCGGCTCCAAGTGCAAACATAACACTTCCATATGAATTGCGTTTAAATGTAATGGCATATAAGAGTGCATCGTTTACTGTTTCTTGGGCAGAAAGTGTATGGGTCATGCATGTGTTTTTACTTAAGTGAAAAACAAAACAAAAATGCCGAATTACCAATGTTTCATACAAAAATTTTTCACTGGTTAAGTACTTTGTTTTAATCGACTCCCAGAAAAAAATGCATTTTCTTCACATTTTTCGTACTATAATGTTTAAATCAAAAGATTTCATTTTATGTGATTTAAACACTGGTTT